CTGGAGCATCTTGATGGCCACAGCCACCATCTCGGAGAGGGACGGATCCGTCTCGTTGTTCCTGTCCAGCTCGTACATCATGTCACCCGGCTCGAAGAGGCCTGGGGACAGTGACACTGCTGGGGCCTCTGCTCCTTGTGCTGGCCCAAGCTTTCCACCCGTGCCGGATCCCGGGTGATTAGATAGGAGCCGGGGGATGCTCCCAGCCCTTCCTTCCTCCAGCCTGGCCAAATCCTGCAGCACGGCCGGGCTGGGGAATTGCACCGTGGGACAAAACAAAACTGCAACTCCAGGGAGGGGGGTACTGGCATCTTTGGTGGTACCAGCATCCCCCGGGGGGATTAACAGTTGGGATTAACAGCATCTTTAAGGGGGGGTTGCAACATCCCTTGGAAGTACCAGCATCCTCAGGGCAGGGTACCAGTGTCTTTGAGGGGGTACCAGTGTCCCCAGGAGGGTACCAGCATCTTTGGGCAGGTATCAGAATCCCTGGGGGTGGGGTACCAGCACCCCTTGGAGGTACCAGCATCTTTCGGGGTGTGTGTAGGGGGTAACTGGCCACTCCAGCTGCCCCAGCACCCAGGGATGGGTCCAGGGGTCCTCCCCAAAGCACCCAGGTAGGGCTGAGGCACCCTTGGGTGCTGGGACTCACCCAGGAGGAAGTCAACGCGGCTGAGGTTGAGCGCCAGCAGGTCCCGCCGGTGCCACACGTACTTGGCCACCTGGGGAACAAGCAGGTTGTCACCTCCTCATCGCTGCTTTGTCAGGTTACAGCGGGGTGGTGTGTGTGTGTACCCCCAAAATAATGTCCCCGTCACCTTGCCGGGGGCCTTGGCATCGTGCCACGCCTGGACGAGGTCCCTGCGATCCAGGCGGGTGCCCCGGTGCTTGTCCTCGTGGGGATACTCCACATCACTGGCATTTTTGGGGAACATATATTTCCGCCCGCCACCCAAGATCACCTGCAAAAGCATTTTTTAAAAATAATTTTGAATTAATTTAATTTCCCCCCCCCCCCAGTTTGGGTTTAACAATGGGGAAACCCCAGTGTCATGCACAAAAAGTGCGTGAAAACACCCGAGGAATTTCACCTCACTCGAAATAACCCTGAATCTCTCCTTATTAACTGCAACCCAAGACAAAAATAACCATTTCCAGCAGCAAATTTGGCTTTTTCATACTTTTTTTCTTCTGTTTCTTCCCTCCCCAGCTGTGGGAAGGATGTTCCACATCGGGGTCCCCGCGTGAACCCGCCGGGACGGAGCCCCATCCCGCAGCGCTCCCTGTTTGCTTTGGAGCCCAATTTATTTGGCCTCTGTTATTTATAACCAAGCTGAGATTTTAATTTTTTTTTTTATTCCCCCCCCTTTTCTCTGTGCAGAAGGTGAATTATAAAGCTGCAAAACACCGCCGCCAAAATTATTAAGCCAAAAACAAAAAAAAAGGGACAAAAAAAAAAGTCTTTTCCCCACTATATAATTATTTCCAGCCTGGGACAGAGTTAAAATTATATTAAAGGGAAAAATCCAGGAGAAGGGGCTATTAAAGAGCTAAATAACAGGCTGAAATGTTTTGCTTTGGGGCTATTTTGAAGGACAGAAGAGTATTTATTTACAGGGCTGAATTTCTGCGTAAACCCGCAGCGAGGGGCAGAACTGGGGGGAAAATGGAGGGGTTTGGGTATGGGAAGTATGAGAAAGGAGGAGGCTGCTGTGGATGTGGGTGGGAGGGGGGGTAAGTGGGATTTGGGAGGCTGGTTCTAGATGGGCTTG